GCGCGTTGTAAGAGCAGAAAATGTCTATACAGTTCATTAAAGATAGTCTTGAATCAAAGCTAGATTCTGGCTTTGTTCTAGCTTTGTCTTCTAGCTCTGTTCTAGCGCTTTGTAAAAGCAGAAAATGTCTAACTGATTTCAAAACTGGTAAGTATTATATAAAGATATAAAGCCTGGAATCTTGGCTACATTTACATATCAAAAGCTTTCAAATTAGAGTCACACAACTGATGTGACAAGCTTTTGAGTGAGCACTACTCGATCTCTTTCCAGCACTCTACCATTTTTCACGATTTTCTATATAATAAACTTTTTAAAAAAGCTTTTTTTTGTTATTTATTTTATTAAAATGTATTTATTATCATTTAATAACAATAAGAAGACCAACTTACAATAGAAATAGCTAAACTTAAACCACGTAAAACAGTTTGATGTTAATTTAGTTGATCAATAAGGCTTATGGGGGTTCTGTCTATTGTATTTGAGTCAATTTAGAGCTTGAAGTTCATTAAAGATAGTCTTGAATCAAAGCTAGATTCTGGCTTTGTTCTAGCTTGGTTTGACTTGTGTTCTGGCGTTCTGGCGTTCTAGCGTTCTGGCGTTCTGGCGTTCTGGCTTGTTCTAGCGCTTTGTAAAAGCAGAAAATGTCTAACTGATTTCAAAACTGGTAAGTGTTATATAAAGATATAAAGGCTTGAATCTTAGCTACATTTACATATCAAAAGCTTTCGAATTAGAGTCACACAACTGATATGACAAGCTTTTGAGTGAGTACTACTCGATCTCTTTCCAACCCTCTACCATTTTTCACGATTTTCTTTATAATAAACTTTAAAGAAAGCTTTTCTTGTTATTTATTATCATTTAAACGATAATAAACATTTAAATGATAATAAGAATAACATTCAACTGTTAATTTATTAAACTTTTCTAATCAAAATTCAATTTGATTCATTTTCATTTTCAAGCTCAAGAAAATAATCGAAAAGAAGAGTTTTTTTGAAAAAATTTCTATCCAGATTTTGTTTTGTTTGATTAATTTCCATCCAAATTAATCTCCTTCTCTAATTCCATAAATTTATTAAACTTTTAAACAAAATTGTTTTGATGAAGTCTTTCTAAACAAAAATTTTGTTTTAAACGAATTTTTCAGCGTTCGCTTTAACTTTTAACTATCTTCTTTAACTTTAACTTTAACTATCTTCTTAGAAACATTGACCATTGTTCGCTAAAAACACTTAGTAAAGTAAAATTTTTTGTTTTAAAAACAAAATCAGGAAGGTTGACCGAATTAGAGGTCATTTGTTGGCAACGGGAATGAACATGTGTTCTTTCTATCATTCTCTCATTGATCACAAGGAGAGATCCCGAATTTCCAGGAATTTTCTCCAGGAATCAAGAATTCGAAAGAAAAGGAAATAAAAAGCATTCTGTGAGATTGAGAAAAGACACAAAGATATTGTCTGAGCAATTAATAATGGCTTAAAGATACAAGAGTTCCAAGGTCCAAGCGTCTAACTGGCCTAAAGGGACAAGTTCCAAGATCCAAGCGTCTAACTGGCCTAAAGGGACAAGTTCCAAGATCCAAGAGCCTAACTGGCTTAAAGATACAAGAGTTCCGAGATCCAAGCGTCTAACTGGCTTAAAGGGACAAGTTCCAAGAGCCTAACTGGCTTCAAGGGACAAGTTCTTCCATACCAAGAGTGTTTCAAAATTAAAATTTCTCAGCCGAGTGGATTGGCTTGGCTTGAGATTATGCCTGGATTTAGCCTAACTCTAGCTTGAACTCGCCTAACTCTAGCTTGAACTCGCCTAGCTCTAGCTTGAACTCGCCTAGCTCTAACTCGAACTCGCCTATCTCTAGCTTGAACTCGCCTAGCTCTAACTCGAACTCGCCTAGCTCTAACTTGAACTCGCCTAACTCTAGCTTGAACTCACCTAACTCTAGCTTGAACTCGCCTAGCTCTAACTCGAACTCGCCTATCTCTAGCTTGAACTCGCCTAGCTCTAACTCGAACTCGCCTATCTCTAGCTTGAACTCGCCTAGCTCTAACTCGAACTCGCCTAACTCTAGCTTGAACTTGCCTTGCCTTTTGACTTTTGAAACAATGCTTATTGCAGGAAAAGAAATTGATTTGATTAAAGAATTGAAAGATGTTCAACCATATTGACTTAATATTTTTAATGTTTAAGCAACTTTAGAGCTCTATCTAAGCTTCTAGCTAGCTTGATTTCCTTGTTCTTTCTTTAACTTAACTAAACTTAACTTCATTTAACTTTTTACCTAACTTCTTTAAGCTTTTCCTCAATTTTTATCCATTTTTAGTCATTTTTTAGCCATTTTCAACCATTTTAACCATTTTTCAACCATTTTTAAACCATTTTTAAAATCATTTTTATCTATTCTTAACCATTTTTAGCTATTCTTAACCATTTTTAGTCATTTTTAGTCATTTTTAACAATTTTTTGCGTTTATTATTAGTGACCAACGATCTTTCTTTCTAGAAAACAAACCAAAACGTCTAAAGAAACGACTCTTCTCGTATACATTGATTGATAAGATTTCGCAGAGAAGTGACACATGGAAAGTGAAGAAAATGAAGAAATGAAATGCCGGAAAATGAGAAAGATCTAAAGGAAAAGAATTGAAAAATCATATTAGCTAGACTTAATGGAAAGTCGGGTATTTTTAGAACAAAAATTAAGGTTTTAGGTGAATGTTTTCAAGGAAAGTACAATATTAATGACAATATTCAAAAAGCTATAACTTTGTGCGTTTTGCCGATTAGCGGTTTTTGAAAACAGTTTCTGAACGTACATTTTCAGGCCTTTCTTTTGGTAACTACCTCATATTCTAACTCGCGGGTAACTTGGAAAAGTTCTCTTGTAAGTTAAAAGCGAGGCCTCACCGTGACTCTTTTTGTGGCACGAGCAGTTATTAGAAGGCTCGCCCTTACTAATAACAGGAGGGAATAGCCGAGTGGTTAGCGCGCTCCTCTCTAAGGCGGACGCCAGCCTGGAGAGCTCCAGTTCGGCCTTTTAGAGGATTCTTTCATTCAAAATTTTTTTATGGAAACACATTAACGTTGGGCTGGCTAGAAGGTGATAAACCAACGTTGAGTCGCTGATAAAGGATGAGGTGGCTCTCATCAACTTGTAACTATTATATTTTGTCCACATATAAAAAAGTTAGCACGAAGCTCTATATAAACGAGTGCTTCCTGAAGCACTAGTATTTTGCAAATTTGAAATCGAAGCTCATTTTATTAGTTAAAAAAGCGCTGCCTTATCGTTGTAGGACAGAAAGTATGCGTTTCTCTACAGCTACAGCTGCAGTTTCTATTCACAAAAGGACACTTTTTGACGAATACAATGAAGAAGAAGCGTTTGGTTTTTAAAAAAACATCTATTCACACAAATAATATGATAAAAACAATAAAAAAGCAGCCTAAGCTCTAAAATAGAGAAAACTCATATAAAAAGAGCCAAAAATCTAGCCAGTATTGAACCCTTGATCTCCCGACTATAGATCTCTCGACTATAGATCTCCTGACTATAGATCTCCTGACTATAGATCTCCTGACTATAGATCTCCTGACTATAGATCTCCTGACTATAGATCTCCTGACTATAGATCTCCTGACTATAGATCTCCTGACTATAGATCTCCTGACTATAGATCTCCTGACTATAGATCTCCTGACTATAGATCTCCTGACTACAGATCTCCTGACTATAGATCTCCTGACTATAGATCTCCTGACTACAGATCTCCTGACTATAGATCTCCTGACTACAGATCTCCTGACTATAGATCTCCTGACTATAGATCTCCTGACTACAGATCTCCCGACTCCCGGTATTGAACCCTTGATCTCCCGACTACAGGGCTCTTAGCCAGCTGGTCATGACGGGATCTGAAAACCGGCCAGTTTTTGGCTATTATTAGATTTATAAGTGAACCATAAGTACATTAGAAAAGTGAATTTCATAGTATAATCTAAAAAAAAATCAGCTAAAAGACTTCTTTCGTCTACGAAATTTCCGTAACAATGACACCTTGATGAGCCGCTTTTTTCTGGAATCTGCGAATGAAAAAGAACAAATTTTTAAACCAGTTAGTACTGTAGTATTGTCTAAATCTTTTCTTTTTCACTGTTTACTGAAAAGAACTCCGAATTGAATACCCTTTTGTTCGACAGTTCCGATTTTGATTCAAAAGGGTTTTCCCTTTTGTTTCAGACTTTGAAAGCCATGGGAATATGGGATTTTTAAAGAAAAATGACATCAAAAATATTAAAAATCAGTAAAAATCATGTAAAATCGTTAAAAATCATTTAAAAATCATTAAAAAACATTCAGAATCATTTAAAATCATTAAAAATCATGTAAAATCGTTAAAAATCATTTAAAATCATTAAAAAACATTCAGAATCATTTAAAATCATTAAAAATCATGTAAAATCGTTAAAAATCATTTAAAAAATCATTAAAAAACATTAAAAAACATTAAAAATCATCAAGAATCACCATCAGTACATCAAAAATTATACGATTTCACAAAAAGTCGTTTAGCATTAGATCCTGCCCCAGTTCTGGCTTAGAATTAGCTAGCTAGCCTTACAATCTTACCGTAGCTGTACTTGGCTTACTGTAACGTCTAATAAGTTTACGGTATCTAGCCTAAATACCGTGATCCAGCTAATCAAGACTGAGAATGGATTCTGGACTAAATACCGTAATCCAGTAAATCTAGACTGAATAACTTAATCGCCCACTCAATACCGTAATCCAGCAAATCTAGACTGGATACCCAATCTAGACTAAATACCCTAATCCAGCTAATCTAGACTGAGTACCGATTCTGGACTAAATCTATGATTGGAACTTTAAGTTCCAATCAAAACAATGCGTTGCAAAACTTGAAAAATCCTTGATTTGTTGATGCTTTAAAGATCATGATCATGAAAGTTTATGAAATCTTTTATTCTAGAAACTAATTATCAAATAATGCCCATTTCTTTGCCTCTTGCAACTTTTCCTCTCCAAGCAGCACTTCAACAAGTTTTAAACTCCAAATCATTGCTGTACTTGGCCCACGTGATGTGATCAGATTCCCAGAAACAACCACTTTTTCTTCACTGTAGTTGTAGTCATCTGAAAATAAAATCCATATTGTTAAAGCTATTTGTTTTAGCTGACGATAACAGTTAAACCTTTCAACTTATCCTTTGTAGTTGGATAGCTTGTCAAGGTAGCACCGAGCGCGATTCGATTCATTTTGAAAGCCAATGCAGCTGCACAGATTGAAGCCAAGAGGCGATTGGCCTAAATCTAAGCTTTGTTATAACTTTTAACAAATCCCCTACGAGTAATCTGGTCCTGGAATTCTGGCCGGTTCATTCTAGCCTAGCCTAATTAGAAGACCTGGACATCACTGAATAGAGCTTTTGAAAAGTTGCCAGAAAAAATGGACAATATTCTCTTGGACTCAGAACCGAGCTTCTGTTTTCACCTGGTGATGAGTCACGAGCACTTTCCCAACTTGATCACTTTCAGCCAAATGATTGCTTCCGTCGACGCCACCAGGTAGAACAACGAGATCAAACAATTCGTCCATAACATCAGATAGAGCCTTGTCCGGTTGAATCATTGTGTTCCGGGCACATCGGACTGGCTCTGATGAGTTTAATCCGGCTATGGTAACCTGAAGCTATTGTACGCTTTTTCTTCCTAAGCTATTGTACTCATCCATTTCCAAATTCAAACCTTTACTCCAACTCTCCGCAAGACATCAATTGGGGTGACCACTTCGATTTCTTCGGAATCCTCGGCGATAATCACAAGGGCAGTTTTTAAGCTCATCTTTGAGCTGTTGAAAGTTTAAAGTAGTTGAAAAGAAAATGGAAAGAAAATAAAAAGAAAAATCAATCAATATTTCAACTCTTAATCCTAGCATTTACGAGCGTTCTTTTAAAGAAATTTTACTCGCAAAGAGTGAGAGACAAACTACAAGAGATCAAAATAGAGATAGCATTTGAACTTTCAAACTTTACAGCAACTAGGATCTTTTTCAAAGAATTTCTAGATAAGCTAATAAGTTGCCTCTAAAAGTTTAGCCCATTAAACCCGAGTTTCAAATGTTTGGCTCAACAAAATGAATAGCTCTAATCGATTCTCCGATCCTGAAAATCCCCGAGTACAAATTTACAGCTATCCTCTTTTTTTGGGCCATCTACGAAGCAAAAGAGAAATCCCTATGACCGGCGAAATGTTCTTTGTACGGCCACGTAGCCGCTCACCGTCTGGCAAATGCGTCTGGTATAAAATGCTTCCATTTTGGAAGGGAAAGCAGCGGTGAGAAACTGAGCTTTAACCTCGTCACTATGCCTAAATTCTTGAGACCAATTCTCGCCTTAAATTTGGCTGCATCTTTACACAAAACGATATTGAGCTTTGCTTTTCGCTTTTCTTGTCCTTTGAACGTTAATTTTGGCTTTTACCAGTTATCTTTTTACTTCTTGCTTCTAATTTGAAGAGTTGATATACTTGAGCAAAAGTTTTGGCAACAAGCGGAATCGAAAATAGATATGGCCTTGATCTAGCAGTCTTACAGTCTAGCAGACTCCCCTAGACCACCGCTGCTTTTTGTTGGCGAGCAGCCGGACCTCTTATGCTCACGGTTTGCCAAAAATTGCCAAAACTTTTGACAAGTTTTTCTCGAAAAGCAGGGCCAAAAAAAGAAAAATACATTTTTCTTAGGATTCTACGGAACATTTTGTAGCTAGATCCGGTTCCAAAAAACGGTGATAAGTTGAAACAGTTCCCTAGTAAGCCTTCTACTTTTTGCTCAAATTCTTGGGATCAATTTTTGACTTGAATTTACAAAACACCGAGGAAAGCTGATTTGAGCGTATTGTACTGCTTACAAAAAACAGTTCATGCTTAGAGCTTTGGTTAGAGCTTTGCTTAGTGCTTTGGTTAGAGCTTTGGTTAGAGCTTTGCTTAGTGCTTTGGTTAGAGCTTTGGTTAGAGCTTTGCTTAGCTTTGCTTAAAGCTTGGCTTAGAGCTTTGCTTAGAGCTTTGGTTAGTGCTTTGGTTAGAGCTTTGGTTAGAGCTTTGCTTAGCTTTGCTTAGCTTTGCTTAGCTTTGCTTAGCTTTGCTTAGCTTTGCTTAGCTTTGCTTAGCTTTGCTTAGCTTTGCTTAGCTTTGCTTAGCTTTGCTTAGCTTTGCTTAGCTTTGCTTAGCTTTGCTTAGCTTTGCTTAGCTTTGCTTAGCTTTGCTTAGCTTTGCTTAGCTTTGCTTAGCTTTGCTTAGCTTTGCTTAGCTTTGCTTAAAGCTTTGCTTAGCTTTTGCTTAGCTTTGCTTAGAGCTCATAAATCATTCCTCTATTTTCAACAATCTTTGAAATCTCTCTCTAGACGCCAAATACTGTAGTTTCTCGTCGTAACGAGACGTGTCCTTAGATAAAAGCGTTTCAAAACGACAACAGAAGCCAGTCAAATCACAAATAGCTTTCAATGTTTTGTAGGTCATAAGGGTGAATTATAGAGATTTTGATAAAAAAGAGAAAGAAGGTTTTTTTGATGGAAAAGTTGAGAGATTCAAGGAGGGAAAAATGCCCTCTCGCACGTGCGTCACCAAAATGGGCATTGTGGTGATAAGAGATTTTGAAAAAAGAAGTAAACAGCTCGAACAAAGCCTTTATAAGCTGGCTGATTGGGAGAACAATCAGAAAATCTTCAACTTTCTTTTTTTTAAAATGTTGAACAGTTTTGGCTTAAAGTTTTTCAAGTTTAGTAGGAGTGAAGTCAGTTTTAAGATTTGTCGACTGTAAATTTAGGTTTTCAGGTTAATTTCTAACTTTTCTAAGCTTTTCAGGATGAAATTCCTTGATTTTACTTTACTTTTTCTTACTTTCCTTAGCAATTGAGGCTTTTTTTGGAATAATATTGTTTGATTTAATATTTTAGCAATAGATTTCAGCAATTTGATCAGCTTAGCTTAACAATAAGACATTGATCTTTAGCTAATTGATATTGATTTCTTTCTTTCCTTGTTCGTTTTCTGGGGGTGGGACAAATGCTAGCTTTTTTTTTGCGCACCTGGACATTTGCGCACCTTTTTTTGTTGGAAAAGGCCTTAGGCAAGGCCGTAGAGCTTCGAAAATATATCCATATAAGGGAATCGTATGCGTAGATTCAGAATTTTGACAAATCAGACCTCGCTGACACGTCAAATTTGGGCTAAAAGGCAAAAACTACGCAACTTAACGCTTTTCCGCAGTTTTTGCCTTTCAGCCCAAATTTGACGTGTCAGCGAGGTCTGATTTGTCGAAATTCGGAATCTACGCATACGATCCCCTTCTATGAAAACGCTTTGAAGCTCTACGACCTTTCCTAAGGCCTTTTCCAGCAAAAAAAAGGTCGCATTTGTCCCACTCCCTGATTTCTAACTTTTCTAAGCTTTTCTAACCGAAATTCCTTGATTTTACTTTACTTTTTCTTTCTTTCCTTAGTAATTGAGGCTTTTTTTGGATTAATATTGTTTGATTTAGTATTTTAGCAATAAGCAATAAGCAATTTTAGCAATCTCAGCAATTTGATCAGCTTAGCTTAACAATAAAACATTTATCTTTAGCTAAATTTGCTTAATTGATATTGATTTCTTTATTTATTTATTATTTCTTTCTTTGTTCGTTTTCTTAAATTATTTCTTTGTCTAATTAAATAATTGGAAAACATTTTGTTTTAAAAGCTTTAAAGCTTTAAAGCTGTTCAAATGATTTCAATGCATAAAAAGTATCAAATTGAGTAGTGAAATTAGTACTTTTTGTTAAACAAAAACCTAAAAATTGTTAAGATTCAATTCCTTCAGTTCTAATCAAGCAATTCTAATTGATTCTAATCAATTCTTCTATTCTTTTCTAATCAAAATCGCTCAATTTGTTATTTTTCTATTAATAAATCTTTTCTTTTTACTATATTTTACAATTTTTAGATAATAATCCATCAATTTTCGAGAATGAGAACGATTCTGGTGATTGCTGTTATTGCTTTTCTTGCTGTAAATGCCAAAAAGCAAAAGGGGCAAAATGTGGAGAGGCCAATGAAAGTTGAACAGGTTTAAAATTTAGTTTACGGTTTATTTAGTTTACGGTTTATTTAGTTTACAGTTTATTCAGTTTACAGTTTATTTAGTCTACAGTTTATTTAGTTTGCAGTTTATTTGGTTTATAGTTTATTTAGTTTACAGTTTATTTAGTTTATAGTTTATTTAGTTTATAGTTTATTTAGTTTACAGTTCATTTAGTTTACAGTTTATTTAGTCTACAGTTTATTTAGTCTACAGTTTGTTTAGTTTACGGTTTATTTAGTTTACAGTTTATTCAGTTTGCAGTTTATTTAGTTTACGGTTTATTTAGTTTATAGTTTATTTAGTTTACAGTTCATTTAGTTTACAGTTTATTTAGTCTACAGTTTATTTAGTCTATAGTTTATTTAGTTTACAGTTTATTTAGTCTACAGTTTATTCAGTTTACAGTTTATTTAGTTTACAGTTTATTTAGTTTGCAGTTTATTTGGTTTATAGTTTATTTAGTTTACAGTTCATTTAGTCTACAGTTTTAGTTTCGGTTTGTTTACAGTTTACAGTTTGCAGTTTATTGTTTACGGTTTTTAGTTTATGTTTTTTAGTTTACAGTTCAAGTTTACAGTTTATTTAGTCTACGTTTTGTCTACAGTTTGTTTGTTTACGGTTTTTTGTCTCAGTTTGTTTCAGTTTATCTAGTTTACAGTTTATTCAGCTTACAGTTTATTCAGTTTACAGTTTATTCAGTTTACAGTTTATTTAGTTTACAATCTTTTAATCATGTTTTCTTTTTTGTTGTTTTAATCTCAAACTTTCTAGATGCCTTGCCCCTATATGCGAGAGCAAGCAATGGCTCAAATGGATCCATTGTCGAGAGTGAGTCTTCATCTCCTTTTATAATATTTTGTTTTATTTCAGGCCAATGCCGAGTACCAGATTTGTAAGCAAAACTGCCTGATGAAGCACCAACACCAGCAGATGCAAACCACCACTGAACAGGTGTGGTTTAAGGCTTTAAATGTGGCTAGTTTGACTTTAAATCTAGATATGAATTGTGATAATTGTTAAATGATATAGAATAAGAAAGAATAAGAAAGAATAAGAAGAAATAAGAATGTTAAATGATGATAAGGAATTGGAAAGTAAAGGGAATCGAACCCTCGACCTTTGCTGCTTTTTACTTTTGCATTGCCTACTCGACCTTTCCAATCTACTTTGCCACTTCTTGCTCTAACCATTGAACTATCTGGTACCTTTATTTGCTAAGAGAAAGAGGGAAAGACAAGGAGGAAGAAGAAAGGAAGAGCTTTCAAGAAATTCAATTTTTAGTCATCTTCAGATAAGCAGATAGATTTTCAAATCCTTTCTTTTCAGAAAGTCGATCAATTGAGAAAAGAGCTCGCTGACGCTGAGGCTTTTCTTCAACAAATGGTTTGTTTTAAATCTTCACTCTTTTCATTTGATTCTTCTTTCTAAAAAAAGAAAACAACTTTCAAAAATCATATAGAAAATCAAGTTTTAAAGGTTTTTATTGAAGAGTAAGCCGTTATCATAAAATTTTACGACAATCTTTTTCGGTGTTGCAATTTTTATCAGTGCAAACTCGATTTAGCTTTCAGGAAACCCAATGGTGAGAATTGTAAACTTAAAAGAGCTTAAAACTCATAATTTCTAAACATTAAACCTCATTCAATACTTTTACGTGCAATTATTGAGTCCCAAGACTGGATTACTGCATCTTTAAACATTTTGAGACATTTGATACACGCCTCGCGCCTTTTCCCATCGGCAATCTAATTTTGAGCTCAAATATCTTGGTGTTGGGCTATCTAATTTAAATATTCTTGACATCATTAGATGCGCCTTTTCTCTGTCGATTGGTTCAAAAACTATTTAAATTGGACAGTCCAACACCGAGAAATTTGAGCTTAAAGTTAGATTGTCGATGGGAAAAGCGCCAAAAAAAGTTAATTTTTCAATCATTTTTTCTAAGCGCTAGTTAATGCTAAAAATATGTGTTATATTTTAAAAAATCACCCATCCTCTCTACTTTGGTTTGATACCTAAGCGCACAGAAAGAAATGTCTGAGCGCCGAGATATGAGCGAGATTATGGAAATATAATAATTTCCATTATTATTGAAGACTTCTGCCCATTTTACAGGCAATTTGCGGCTTCCTCTTTCGTAGTAGGATTTTGGTTTGTGTGTGAGACAAGTGTGAGACTCAAAAAATGGATGACTGGAGATGTCATCTGTCAGCCCAGTTTGAGCACTTTCTTCAAAAGAAACCCATTTTGGTGTCAATGGAAAAGTTGTAGAGAATCGAAAATTAGGCTTATAGCCAAATTTCCAAAAAGATACACTTAGTAGTTTCGCTTAAAATGCAAGTTTTGTGAAAATTTGTAAATTTGACATTTCTTGAAAACCAGTTTTTGAATCGTTCTGAAAATTTGGATATAAGTCTAATTTTTGATTCTCTACAACCTTTCCATTGACACTAAAATGGGTTTCTTTTGAAGAAAGTGCTCAAACTGTCACATTTGACAATAGCCCGCAGTTTTCAATTCACCAACCCAATATAAGCATTATATTACATTATATTATAGAACTATTAGATTATAAAACTGTGATATAACACAAAAGCTCGTCAATTAGACATTTAGCTAGCAAAATTTCTAATTCCAGGGTCAGGCTGAGGGACAAGACGGTCATCAACAGCTCCAAGATGGGCACGATCAACAAACCGGATTCGGTCATCATCCAGCTGGCGTTCATCAATCTTCACAAATGTCAGACAATCAACGACAGGCCGCCAAGCCCCATGTATAGATCATTTTTAGATTTATGTTCAAAAGTACACACAAAACACTTATTATCAATGTTTTCACTTTTAAAACAATCAACAAACAATAAAAAAACAATAAACAAATAATAAACAAGTAAAATAAAGAACACAAAGAGGAATTTAAGTGGCTTGTTTATGCATGAGGTAGATAGATAATAGCTTTTTGGTTTCATTGTGTTTTGTTGAGTTTAAGAGTACTTTTCAAGCGCTTTAGACATCACAAAAACACAATGAAGCTACCGTAGATTTGTCTGGTTTTAGAATTGTACTTATTAGATGCTATTGTACTTTGAAATGTGGTTAGAAACGTACTTTGAAGCGTAGTTTGAAACGTACTTTGAAACGTACTTTGAAACGTACTTTGAATTGTACTTTGAAACGACTTTGAAACGACTTAGAAACGACTTTGAAGCGTAGCTAGAAGCGTACTTTGAAATGTGGTTAGAAACGTACTTTGAAACGTACTTTGAAACATACTTTAAAGAGTACTTTGAAGCGTACTTTGAAGCGTAGTTTGAAACGGACTTTGAAACGACTTAGAAACGTACTTTGAAACGTACTTCGAAAAATACTTTGCTTTAGATTTGTAAACGCATCCTTTCTAGTGCACTTTTCTCTTGAAATCAAAAGTCTTGAATTTCTGGGGAAATCAAGCCAGAAAGGATGCGTTTTCACAAGCGCAAAGTACATCTCAAAAGAGATCAAGAGAAACTTTAGATATTCAGCTAACTAAAGGCTAAGAAAATTCATAAGATTGAGATTGACAAAAGTACTGTAACGAAAGTAAGTAAAGAGTAAGTAAGACAGAAGTATCGTAACAAAAGTACTGTAACAAAAGTACCGTAAAAAAAAGTACTGTAACAAAAGTACCGTAAAAAAAAAGTACCGTAACAAAAGTACCGTGTAAATCAAGAACTAGATTTGGAAACTATTCAGCTAGATTCTAAATCAGTTCTAAATCATAGTATCTTCGTAAAACTACCCTACCACTAAAGTAAAGCTCAGATTTATCATTCTAGATCTTATCCAGTTCATTCTAAAGTCTATAGCTAACCCAAAGCCAGTCTAAAGTACTAATGATCCACTCTAGTACATCCACCGCCATAATGATGAGCGTACAGCCGCGTAGTCTAACTTTAAACGTCTCGTTCTCCGCGCTCCTTTATGCTACAGTTTGCATTTGAATTTCAAATGATAGCCCTTGAAATCTAGTTTTTTTTGTTACCAAAAGTGTAGTAAGAAAAAGTCTAGGAGTTGAGAAAACACTGATTCTCTAAAAAGAAGACTACGCGACTGTACGAGCGGTGAGCGCCTTTAGAGTATTTACGGTAATTCTATCATAGATTTAGCTTCATTAGCTTCAGCTTTCGATTCCCAATCCTTAAAACATTCCAAAATTTCAGTCGATCAATCACGGATCAGGACCAAGCCACCCCGCCGACTACAAAATTTGACTCGTTCCCCCCGCCGGCTTCTCCACTCGATATTCTTGGAAATATCGATTCTGGCCGGCCTGTCCCTCTTCATATCGATCATCCAAAAGAAGAACCAATTCACGAAATTCATCTAACTCCAAAAATCGCCAATATCCCCGTACCAAATTTATAAAATTTCATCGATGTTCGAGGTTTTATTTTAAAGTGAAAAAGAGACGGAGAAATTATAAAAGTAAACAATTTTACGTGCAAAGAAGACGAAAAAAAGAAATGGATCTGAAAAATGTCAAGAATTGCATGGATTCTAGTGGTGACAGTGATTCGGATATGGAAATTGAGCAAATTTGTTTTCAAAAGCTTGACAAGACTTTGGAGCTGGAAAAAGGAGACAATTTCGTTAAAACTCCAAGTTTTATCAGTCAAAATTTGGAAAAGAAATCGTTGACGAATGATTTGGATAAAAATTCGGAATATTTGAAGCATCAAAGAGCTACAGCAGTTGATTCAAAGTTCAATTTAAAGATCAGCTCAAAGTTCAGCTTAAAGTTCAGCTCAAAGCTCAATCCAAAGATCAGCTCAGAGCTCAATCCAAAGCTCAATCCAAAGATCAGCTCAAAGTTCAGCTCAAAGCTCAATCCAAAGATCAGCTCAAAGTTTAGCTCAAAGTCCAATTCAAAGCTTAATCCAAAGTTCAGCTCAGAGCTCAATCCAAAGCTCAATCCAAAGCTCAATCCAAAGATCAGCTCAAAGCTCAATCCAAAGTCCAATTCAAAGCTCAATCCAGAGATCAGCTCAAAGTTCAGATCAAAGCTCAATCTAAAGCTCAATCCAAAGATCAGCTCAAAGTTCAGCTCAGAGCTCAATCCAAAGTCCAATTCAAAGCTCAATCCAAAGCTCAATCCAAAGTTTAGCTCAAAATCGACCTCTCAAAATCTATCTGAGACAAGAATTCAACGAAATTTGATAACAAGAAAATTGGAAAATCAAGAAAACAACAAAATGATTGAAGAAATGAAAAGTTTTGAGAAATTTTGCTTTACAAGCAATTCTTATCAAATCGATTCTGGAAAAGGAGAGGTTTTTAGTGGAAAAGAAACCATTTTTGCTGAGAAAATAAAGAAATTTCCAAAGAATACTGAAGATTTCGAAGATTTTGATAGAAATCTGCCTTTTCCTATGGATTTATTTGAGCTTGAAGATGATTTGGTTACGAATTTGCTTGATGAAACTTTCGAATTGCTGGAGAATTGTGAAATGAAAGGAACTTTGAAAAGAATTGAATCTGAGGCTGTTGAATTGGATTTGAATTCAAATTTGAATTCAAATTTGAATTCAATCCTTTTTGAATCACCAAATTCATTCCAAAATTCTTTTATAAATCCCGAAATCTTTGAAAATACTGAAAGAGAATCTTGTGAAGAAAGAAATGAATTTGAATCTGAGCAATTGGATTTTGAATCAACTCAAATCTTTTTAGAAGCACCAAATTCACCTATTGAAGCTTTTATCGATAGAAAAATGATTGAAACTTTTGAAAATAATGGGAAAAGTTTATGGAAAGAACCAAAAAAGTCATCAAAACTCTATCAAAACGATCAAAAGACTGAAAAGTTTCAGAAAAAAAACGTAATCTTTGAAAATACTGAAAGAGAATCTTGTGAAGAAAGAAATGAACTTGAATCTGAGCGATTGGATTTTGAAACTCTAAATCCTTCTGTCAAAGTTGCTAAAGATATAACAGAAGAAGTAGAAGGAAATTTGAAAGAATCTTTCATCAAAGTTTTGCAAACAGTGAATACTCAAGAAATTAAACAAGAAAGGGAAAGTTTAGAAAGAAATACAGATGAGAAAAGTCATGAAAGTGACAAAGAGAAAGTTCTGAATGAATTACCTGGAATGGAAGTTCATGAAAAAGTTCAACAATTGGGAATTGAAAGCATAGAAGGCACAGTTTTTCTTAATAAAGAAGTGGAAGCAAGAAAAGAAAGAAGAAGTAGAGATCAGGAGACGGGATTGAACCCTAGATCTTTTGCTTGTCGACCTTTGAAACTTTTTACTCTAACCACTGAGTCATTCGATGCTTTAACTTGCCAAGAGAAAGAAGGAAGAAGGAAGATAAAGAAAGAAAGAAAGGAAGAAGGAGAGAAAGAAGGAAAGACAAGGGAGATGAAGGAAGAAAGAAAGGAAGAAGGAAAGACAAGGGAGATGAAGAACGAAAGGAAGGAAGAAGGCGAGAAAGAAGGAAAGACAAGGGAGATGAAGAACGAAAGGAAGGAAGAAGGAGAGAAAGAAGGAAAGACAAGGGAGATGAAGAACGAAAGGAAGGAAGAAGGAGAGAAAGAAGGAAAGACAAGGGAGATGAAGAACGAAAGGAAGGAAGAAGGAGAGAAAGAAGGAAAGACAAGGGAGATGAAGGAAGAAAGAAAGGAAGAAGGCGAGAAAGAAGGAAAGACAAGGGAGATGAAGAACGAAAGGAAGGAAGAAGGAGAGAAAGAAGGAAAGACAAGGGAGATGAAGAACGAAAGGAAGGAAGAAGGAGAGAAAGAAGGAAAGACAAGGGAGATGAAGAACGAAAGGAAGGAAGAAGGAGAGAAAGAAGGAAAGACAAGGGAGATGAAGGAAGAAAGAAAGGAAGAAGGAGAGAAAGAAGGAAAGACAAGGGAGATGAAGGAAGAAAGAAAGGAAGAAGGAAAGACAAGGGAGATGAAGAACGAAAGGAAGGAAGAAGGAGAGAAAGAAGGAAATACTTGTGTATTCAGTTTTAAATCACTCGAGAACTTTTATGAAAGAGAACAATCGAATTTACGTAAAGAAGTTGAAATCTCTTTCCCCAAGCCGCTAACAGTAAGCAAATTGATTCAATAGTTAAACAATTTGCAGTAATTGAAGCAGAAGCAGAAGCAGAAGTAGAAGCAGAAAATAAGCCGGTTCGAAAATCACTAAAGAAATTTGATGAATCTATAATTGAAGCTTTAAAATTAAATGAAAAGTCATTGCCAAACGAGTCGCCACTTTCTCCACTTGTCAAGCCATCATTGCCAAACGTCAAGCCATTATTGCCAAACGAGTCGCCACTTTCTCCACTTGTCAAGCCATCTTCTGAAATCGTTAAAGAACGAAAGCTTAGCTTAATAGCAAATGATGAAACGAAAGATCCAGAGATAGAAAGTTCAACACAAAAATCTGTAAAGCCAACAAATCTGGATTCAATTACATCTAACATCCAAAAATCTCTATCTTTTTCCACTTTTCCTCACTCTTTTTCCAAAAATTTAATTGATTCTCATTTTGTGGTGCCTAGCTTTTACACATTTGCTATTGTTCCAATAATTGCTGTTCAAATAGGTATTATTTTATGGTTGTATCTCTTTTAATGTCAAACAAGGAAAGATCAACTGGCTGAGTCGGTCAAATGCTATGCGATTTAGACCATTCGACGCAGAATTTGATGTTGATTCCGAATATATATTCCGTTTTTGCTAAATCACAATAAGTCAGGAGTTATAAGCGTCTAAAACGTTTTGCGTTAAGTTTTGTTAGCGCGTCCTTTGAGACGACGTGAAAATGAGGTCTTAGCGGCCTTATTGCGGATCAAATTCGCTGCAGCCTTGGCCGAGTGGTACAGTTTTTGTTTCCAGAGTGAGACCTCACAAGTTCGACCCCAGCTTTGACCCCAGCTTTGACCCCAGCTTCGGCCCCAGCTTTGACCCCAGCTTTGACCCCAGCTTCGACCCCAGCTTTGACCCCAGCTTTGACCCCAGCTTCGACCCCAGCTTTGACCCCAGCTTCAATAAGGCCGCTAAGACCTCATTTTCACGTCGTCTCAAAAGACGCGCTAACAAAACTTAACGCAAAACGTTTTAGACGCTTATAACTCCTGACTTATTGTCATTTAGCAAAAACGGAATATATATTCGGAATCAGCATCAAATTCTGCGTCGAATGGTATAGATCGAATGGCATTTCGCACAGCCAGTTGCCCTTCCCTTGTAAATATGCAAAATTTTCTTTGAATTACCTTGCTTCGAGTACTTTGTGCTCTAAAAGCATCCTTCTGGCGCACCAAATTCTCCACTTTTATAGCGTCTTACGAGAAAATGAAGAATCCAGAAAGGATAAGTTTACAAATTTGAGCACAAAATACACCCAACCAGCCGCCCCAATGGTTTCCTCAAAAAGTGAACAATAAACCAGGGATTTGGCCTAGCATATGGTGTGCCAGAAAGGTGTATTTACAATAAAATGGAGCACAAAGTACACCCTTTCACATGCTTTATACTCTGCGCTTTCTGCTAGAGGTGCGCGTTTACTAGAGAGCACAAAGTACAGAATTCAAAAGAGGAATCATAGGAATGATAGGAATGATAAGAATGATGGGAATGATAGGAATGATAATCCTCTGTACTCTGTGCTCTAGTAAACGCGTGCCTCTAGCGGAAAGCGCAGAGAATCTATAAACTAATTAGATTAGTCAGCTTGAATATCGAAATTATATGCAAATTGATCTCTTCTTTCATCCCTCTCATTTTCTTTGTTGTTCTTCTTCTTCTTATTGATTCTTTTGTAATAAAATTTTATTTGCTGCACACTTTTCATTACACCGGTTCATTTTATAAGATGAATAGCAAGATTTGACAAAAGAAAAGGACAAAAGAGTAAGATTTGACAAAAGAAAAGGACAAAAGCAAGATTTAGCAAAAGAAAACAACAAAAAAGCAAGAAATCTCGAAAAACTTGGCCACATTAGATATGAGATCGATTCTGAAAGTGAGAAGCTAAAGAGGTAAAGGCTAATGGATAAAGGAGTTGGAACTAAAGCAATACTGACGAATCGAGTAGAAGAGGTAAAGAGGTAAAGGCTAAAACTGGGTACTCTACTATATTTTGGGTACTCAAATGCATCATAATTCTAGCTGATCAATCCTCTGACATTTCTATTCATCAAATGAATCGCTAACTTTGTTAAATTCTTACAGATCTCAGTGTTGGACAAAGAAAACTCAAGATCTAGAATAATTCTAAAAGAAATGGAGTAATCGAAGCGATAAACATAACACTTACGAAGACTATGTACACAGACCAAAGATTGAAGAGAAGCCAGGTGCCATGGCAGAATCTGAATGTGTTTTTTTTGAGGAGAACAACTTTAACAACTTTAACAACTTTAAAATCACTTTATAATCCTTGATTTAACCCAAGTTCAAAGTTTCTAGCTAGATTTAAATCTTCGGGACTATGACAATACCGCACCGCCATTTGCGCACACGAACAAAAGCGTCTTTGGCGCACAAGTCTTTGGCGCACAAGTCTTTTGCGCACAAGTCTTTTGCGCACACGAACAAAAGCGTCTTTTGGGCATAAGTCTTTTGCACACACGAACAAAAGGGTCTTTTGCGCACAAGTCTTTTGCGCACAAGTCTTTTGCGCACAAGTCTTTTGCGCACAACTCTTTTGCGCACAAGTCTTTTGCGCAACGCCATTTGCGCACACGAACCAAAGGGTCTTTTGCGTCACGAACAAAAGCGTCACATAATAATCTGCACTACTTTTGCATGTTTCTCTAGTTTCATCACTGTTTCAGTACAGTTTTTAAAACTTATTGCACCTAGATTTATTTACGGTTTCAATTTATTTTTATTGCTAAATTGAAATTACGTTGTTTGAAATTGAAATACTAAACTACTCAATTTCAATGTTTCTAGCTAGATCTTCTACTCGAAACTTATAACGAAAACGTTAATCGTTATCTTAATCGGAAGGTCGAGGGTTCGAACCCCACATGCGACATGGTCACCCCCTTCGGATTTCCTTTCCCTTCGGGGTGAGAGGTTTTCTGGAGGGCAGTCTGGTGGTTGTGGCCCCAGTTCTTTAAAGTGACAAGCCACTCCTTCATCGTCATCTTCCCTTCACCACCAAAAAAGCTATTTGTTCCCCATTGAGCTTAGGGTTGGGGCCGTCTGTCATGACGTGGGTTGTTAAGATATAGCCTAGTTTGTGTGTGCGTTGTATGTGTTGATATATTTCGTGTATGCGATAAATTCACCACTGGTAGCCCCAGTCGGGATTTTTTTAAAACATTTGTCAGTCCTTTTTTTGCCGTTGGCATAAAGCTTCTCATGCTTTTCTTAGCAACAACTCTTCAATTTTGACTATGACTTGATGCAGAATAAAATTTCGCGCAAAAAGAAACGTCAAAAAGGACTGACAGATGTTTTTGTGACAAGTTTACTGTACCTTGATTGTTTTGAATGGATTTGTAAAGATTTAGGGTTGTTTGAATTTGACTAGAGTTGTTTCCAACCGAATTCTTGAGCCAAGCCAGACAGCCAAGCCTGCAAGCCAGCCAAGCCTGCAAGCCAGCCAAGCCTGCAAGCCAGCCAAGCCTGCAAGCCAAGCCAAGCCTGCAAGCCAGCCAAGCCTGCAAGCCAGCCAAGCCTGCAAGCCAAGCCAAGCCTGCAAGCCAGCCAAGCCTGCAAGCCAGCCAAGCCTGCAAGCCAAACCAGACCAAGATCTGGTTACTTTTCTAGGTTTAGCCTAGTTTAGTCAATCTAGAGAAACCCTGAGAAAACGTTATTTAGAATATCAGCTGACAAATTGTAAGTAAATAGTCGATTTTTAAGATTTATAGCACCTTGCTAAAGCTTTAAAATCTAGAAAGGGATTCTAGTGCTAAAACTTTAGCACTAGAATCACTTTAGTTCTTTTTTGTCACTCACGTTCCAGCAGCAGCAAACAATGTGATCCAGGTGATCGCTTGAAGAGAAACTTTTCTGATCATCTTTTTCTCATTCTCTGGATCTTTCTTGTGAAAGTAGACAAGTATTCCGAGACACCATAGAACTCCCCATAAGATAAGCGAAACGTACATTGATGGCCTGAAATCTCTTAGCTTTAATACAAATTTCGTATCGAAACCAATAAGTTCTGACGCTAAACCAGATGCTGATTGGGAGACGAAAGAAGAAAACAGTCATTGCAAAGACAATTGCCCACAAAACGGTGTCAATCTAAAGAGATATTCAGTTAATCTAAAGAGTTCAATACTGTAAAGCTTCTTTTTCACTCAATACACTATCTAGAAGTTCAAAATCGTTTAAACTACATTGTCAAAAGCTTCTGAGAAAGCTTCTGAGAAACACTGACATTTGAAAAACCTCCTGAATCACTTTATTACCTAAAGAAGCTTCTTTCCTTCTTTCCAACCTAATCTTTAGATTGGAAAAAAAGTTCTCCGAAAAGTTTGACTGGAATTTCTTCAAAAAGAATCCACTAATTCAAGAACATTTTCTTCTATTATATAAAAGCCGACTCCAAGAAATTACTCGTCAAAAATGAGTGCAACTTTTCCTTAAAATTTTATAGATCTTTGAAAAACTGTTATTTTCCAAGCTCACTTTTTTGAAGCTCCAAGCTCACTTTCCAATCTCAGCTCATTCAGCTCAACCAGAACGATTCCTTATGAGATAAAGCTATCATAAATGAGCAATACGCTCTATAATCTTTATTTTTAAAAAGTTTGCATGATGATTTCTCAGAAACCAAGCCATCCAAGCCAACCAAGCCATCAATTCTTCTCAGATTTTTCCATAAACTTGACTTTCATATTAGCTAGACTTAATGGAAAGTGGGGTAGTTTTAGATCAAAAATTAAGGCTTTAGGTGAATGTTTTCAAAGAAAGTAGTACAATATTACGAGAGTTAGGATCTAAAGGAAAAGAATCACTTAGAGAGGACGATTTGATGCTATTTACTAGAGCTTGGCTTGGATTTGTAATCAATAGATTAGGTTGGAAAGAAAGTTCTCGAAAAAGTTTGACTAGAATTTCTTAAAACGAATCCAATTCAAGAACATTTTCTTCTATTATATAAAAACCGACTCCAAGAAATTACTCGTCAAAAATGAGTGCAACTTTTCCTTAAAATTTTAGAGATCTTTGAAAAACTGCTATTTTCCAAGCTTAAATTCAGCTCACTTTTTGCACAAGAACGATTCTTTATGAGATAAAGCTATCATAAATGAGCAATACGCTTTATAATCTCTATTTTTAGCGAAAAATTCATATTGTAACTCGCGGGTAACTTGGGAAGGTTCCCTTGTTAAGCTTAGGCTTCGGCTTAGGTAAACAGATTGTTTAGTATAGTAAGAAGTGCCCGTTTTCTCTTTTTCACTCTCACTTTTTGCATCAGAACGATTTCTTATGAGGTAAAGCTATCATTGTAACTCGCGGGTAACTTGGAAATGTTCCCATGTAAGTTAAAAGCGAGGCCTCACCGCGACCCTTTTTGCGGCATGAGCAGTTATTACTTGGCCCGCCTCGTAAGCTAATAATAGAAGGGCGTAGCCGAGTGGTTAGCGCGCTCGTCTCTAAGGCCGACGCCAGCCTGGAGAGCTCAGGTTCGACTTTCGAGAGGATCCTTTCAGAATTTTTTAATGAAAATGAAAAAGGAAAATTTTTTATGGAAACGTTGGGATGGCTAGAAGGCCTTGGGTGATAAACCAACGTTGAGCCGTTGATAAAAGCCGCATTGAGGTGGCTTAAAGATTCTAACAGGTTCCTTTGTTAGTATTTCTATGGGCATGATTTTAGAAAAAACGGCTGAGCCAAATAAAAAGTGTCAAAACAAAAAAAGTCTTGTATTTTAGTGTAGCTAAGTTGACTCAAATACAATAGATAGAAGCCTTTACTATCTTTATTAGAAACACATCAACGTTGGGCTGGGTAGAAGGCCTTGGGTGATAAAGCAACATTGAGCCGGTGATAAAAGCCTGAATCTCACTCTCATTTTTTGCCAAAAACTTTTTGAAATATAGTCAAGTTTATCAAAAAAAGATGTGGGAAGAATTGATGGGTTGGTTTCTGAGAAATCACCGTGTAAACTTTTCCCAAGAACTTTCTTTCCAACGTAATCTATTGATTACAAATCCAAGCCAAGCTCTAGTAAATAGCATCAAATCGTCCTCTCTAAGTGATTCGTTTCCTTTAGATCCTAACTCTCGTAATATTGTACTACTTTCCTTGAAAACATTCACCTAAAGCCTTAATTTTTGATCTAAAAATACCCGACTTTCCATTAAGTCTAGCTAATCATGAAAGTCAAGTTTATCAAAAAATCTGAGAAGAATTGATGGCTTGATTTTTGAGAAATCACCGTGTAAACTTTTTCTACAAGCCTTCTTTCCAACCTAATCATATTTGTCTCAAATTCAATTCAATTCCAATCAAAACCGTATCTTGGATCCTGTAATTTAAAAAGCCAACCCAAAATTTCTACCCCCCCCCCCCCCCCAACGACCTGATTTTTTATTAGGTTGGAAAGAAAGTTAACCTAATCCAAATCTTGAGATTACAAATCCAAGAAGCTCAATAATACAATCTGTTAGACAGATTTTGATACAAAAACTAGTTTTTCAAGTTTCCCATGGAATTCCATGGATTTCCATTACCTCAATTTTCCTCCACGGATTCTTTACATGTTTCCGTCGATGCTCGTGATGATGATGATGATGATGAGGATGATGATGTCCGTTTTGTCCATTCTGTTTCACTTCTTGCTCATGACCAGATTCACGTATCGTTTGCAATGGTGTAGGTGTCCGTAAACTCTGCAACTTTAAAACATATTGAGTTTCAGGTCTAATAAAAGCTACTCGTTAACAATACAATTAGTGTAATGTAATATGTAACTTTTAGAGTTGGATAAGCTGGTTCTGGATAAGCTGGTTCTGGATAAGCTGGTTCTGGATAAGCTGCTTTATGGGTTTAAGCAAAGACATAGTCGGCGCCGGGATCCGAACCCGCAACCCCTCGCTTACCGATCGCTCTACCAATGAGCTACACTGACACGTGGCGTACCCAGGATTTCGCGACTTTCAATGCCTATGTTACAAGTGGTTAGAAGCCTACAAGTGATTAGAAATAAAGCAAAGGGATACATGTCGCTGTAGCTCGTTGGTAGAGCGTTAAGCGAGAGATCGCGGGTTCGAATCCCGGCGCCGACGATGTCTTTGCTTAAACCCATAAATCAGCTTATCCAGAACCAGCTTATCCAACTCTAAAACTTACATATTACTTATAATTAGTTACATATTACTTATAGCTTATAGCCGGGACCTCTCGCGTACCGGGTGAGCACTCTACCAATGAGCTACACTGACGCGTGGCGTACCCAGAATCTCCCGACTTTCAATCTAACGACCCGAGCTCCTCGAGACTACTCCCAATCAATTTTTGCACTCCAAATTATATTTTTTAAAGATTTCAGGCTACAAAACCGTCTAAACAGTTTCTTGAAAAAATTCAAAGGGCTTGAGATTTTTGCTCCTTAATCTTAAAGAGATTCTAAATGCAAAAATTTGGATAAAACGAGTTTTTTGGCATGAATAATTGATTTTACAAAGCTAACGTTGTGTTTTAAAGATTAGAGAAGATTTGACTAGGAGAACTGATCAAAATGAAAAACGGTTGTCCATCTAGTTCTCGAGATTTTCGTGTTCAAAAATTGAAAAAGCTCAAGAAAAGTGGCCAACTTCAAACGTGAAAATCTCGAGCCCCTTGATTTTTTTCAAAAAACTGTTTAGACAGTTTTGTAGCCTGAATCTTTTACAAAATATAATCTCTAGGGCAAAAATTGATTGCGCATAGCCTCGAGGAGCTAGGGCTGTTAGACTGAAAGTCGGGAGATTCTGGGTACGCTACTGCTGACACATCTCCCATTGCCGCCAGAGTAGGGCTTTTTACTAGGGTAGGGCCTTACTTTAGGACCATTATTTACAGTAAACCAATGGCTTTAAGCGTCTTACGATTTCAAGCACTAATTTCAATGATCTTACTGTTCACTCACCATCTCCCGATCTCTGATATCAATCCCACTATCGCGGCTGCTCGTCGTGCCAAAAGTGTCGAGTCGTGGTCGAAATTCAGCGATGTTTAGTCCTGGATTCATCATCCAATAAGCTAAATGGGAATTCAATTGATTAAAACGTTGTTAAGTGAGTAAAATGTGACAGTGTGAACTGTTCATTTCTATAAATTGACAAAACTTCAACAAAATCAATGATTTTCAAAGATTTGGAGGAACTTTATTAAGTTAACTGCTTTAGAATCATAAATTAAAGAAAGCTTTCTAAGAATAAGTTGCAGAAAGGTAAATGGCTTTTTAAAGAGCTTGATTTTAATAAAATGAATGAAAGAGAAGCTTAAAGGGAAGTTTTTCCCAAAAACTTTGTTCTAATAAAAGTGCTTGATCAATTCAATGATCAATTTTCAATGGCTTCTTAAAGAGCTTTGATTCTAACAAAAATTACCAAAATTCAGAAATGAACAGTAAATAGATGTATGGGGATAGCTCTGGGTTATAGCCATAACTCGGATGTATGGGTATAGCCCAGATGTATGGGTATAACTCTGGGTTATAGCCATAACTCGGATGTATGGGTATAGCCCAGATGTATGGGTATAACCCAGATGTATAGGTAGAACTCTGGGTCATACCCATAACCCGGATGTATCGTTATAACCCAGATCTATGAGTATAACTCTGGGCTATACCCATAACCCAGTCTATGAGTATAACTCGCTCTTTTTCCTTATATTTCACCAAAAACCCTCAGAAATGAACAGTAAACAGACTCTAATCTTTTCAATAAACAACTAAAGAGAAGTTTCTCTCAAAAAACTTTGTTCATTTTCTAATTTCAATCACTGACCTCATCGCAAAGTTGATAGAGTTGTTATCGAAAAAGTTTTTTTTCGTTTCAAAGATTTCTTTCAAAAGAAAATTTCGAAAGTTTTTAGAGAATTTTAGAGGAATTTTTGTTTACTTGTGAACGGGGGATTTAAAGCACGTCCTTCAAAGTTACAGTAATCCGAAAAGAGTACACAATTGCTTCCACTTAGGACCAAAAATGGATAAAAAAGGAAAGGGTCATTAGTCGAACGCTTCGATAACAAAATGAAAACACTTCTTTTGATCAATTTTCTTTTTAGATTCTATAGAATCCTATAGAAACTTTAGATTTTTAAATTTTAGATAAATGTAAGTGAAAAAGTATGTCATAAGTCAGTCTTTTATAAACTTTCTTGACTCTAGCAGCCTCCTGAACCTTTTTTGCTGAAAAATCAATGACTAATCAAGTCACTGAATATGATCAAGTTGAGTATTTAAGTCTTTTTGTTATGAGCTATGAGTTTTTGAGTTGTTACCTCGTAATGTATTGGTTAGTTGCTCAGCTAGCTAGTTGCTCAGCTAGCTAGTTGCTCAGCTAGCTAGTTGCTCAGCTAGCTAGTTGCTCAGCTAGCTAGTTGCTCAGCTAGCTAGTTGCTCAGCTAGCTAGTTGCTCAGCTAGCTAGTTGCTCAGCTAGCTAGTTGCTCAGCTAGCTAGTTGCTCAGCTAGCTAGTTGCTCAGCTAGCTAGTTGCTCAGCTAGCTAGTTGCTCAGCTAGCTAGTTGCTCAGCTAGCTAGTTGCTCACTCAGTTTTTCGATTCAAAGCCACGTGAGTTTTACCGCCGCGGAATCTATTTGTTGCCGGATAAGTGGCAGGATGTTATTGAGCTGGCTAGCTAGCTAGCTGAGCTACTGAAAAAGATTTGATTGAATTGCCGTATTTTCTCTAATAGTAGTGCCCCAGCTCAGTCGAGTTGGTGACTATTTTACGGCTTCCAAAGCTTCACAGAAGCTCAACACCCTAATCCCCCACAAGATCTCAACGTCAGCTACATTTTCCGACCCCACATCGATAGGTTCTGATAAGCGGTTCTCGAGATTTCGAGGAGTTTAAGTGACGCTCAGGGTGCACTACTATTAGAGAAAATACGGTAAGTCTAGCGCTCAGGAGGCTGCTAAAGTCAAGAAAGTTTATAAAAGAATGATCATAGTCCTGCTATCCATATCTTATTATATCATAAATTTATCGTAAAAAGTTTCTTTTTTTCAAATTCGTCTTGAATAATTGCTAGTCTAGAATACAAATAGACAATATCATCAATAACATTTTCACTTTACACTTCACTTTATAGTTTTTATTTTTTGAGATCTTTGTGAGCTTTCTGAGATCTTTGTAAGTTTCCTGAGATCCTTGTGAGCTTCCTGAGATCTTTGTGAGTTTACTGAGATCTTTGTAAGTTTCCTATGATCTTTGTGAGCTTCCTGTGATCTTTTTGAGCTTCTTGTTATCTTTGTGAGCTTTCTGAGATCCTTGTGAGCTTCCTGAGATCTTTGAGAAATCAATCTCTAGAATTTCTTTGATTTTTCTTAAAAACAATCCATTCCAAGCCGATTTTTCCATAAAAAAATAGCGAAAAGTTAGATTTAGAATCAAATTTCGCTTAAACTAAATGAAATTTAGCCTAAAAATTCACCCAATTTCAATTGAAAGTGAGCAATTGATATTGTTTTTGAACAATATAGAACAATATAGAACAATATAGAACAATATAGAACGATTTTGAACAATATAGAACAATATAGAACAATATAGAACAATATAGAACTATTTTGAACAATATAGAACAATATAGAACAATATAGAACAATATAGAACAATTTTTGAACAATTTTGAACAATATAGAACAATTCTTGAACAATTTTCACCTCTAAACTCCATCCCATTTATCGTAGTCGACCGCAAAAGACTCAAAATCTTCTAGAAATTCTCACCCAAGTAATTCTTATAGAAATTTTTCGCCCAGAATCGTCTTAACTACTTAAAAGCATCCCCAGCTACTGGTTAATTCCCAAAAATGGAATCTGCTACCCTTACTTACTAGATTTTATAGAAAACTTAGATACTTGGTTTGAAATATATTGAAATACATTATCAAATCGCATCGCTCTCTTTTGGCTGACGTCCTGTCACATACACGGTGGCTCCAGCCTGGAAAGAGATCGGTAAAGAAGCTGATATGCTTAAAAATACTTTATTTTATCATTTTTAGGTGGAAATCTTTAGTTTTAGCTTTACTTCAATGTCCCTTTAGGCTACTTTTATCCTGAAACAGTTTTTGCTACTGGTTGATAAGGATCCCAGTGTCTATTTATGTATCTCTTCTTGCTACCAATTCGTACCTAGTTCCGACTAATTCCAGCTCAGCTATAGCATTCGTCTATGCATTAAATATCTAACCTGTCCAAGCTGCAAGGCGATCACTCTCCCGATCCCCCTCAAAGCACCAGTTACAAGGGCCAATCTAACACTTGTTTTGAATGAATTCCAATTGAAAGTGAGCAATTGTTGTTGTTTTTGAACAATATAGAACAATATAGAACAATTTTTGAACAATCTAGAACAATCTATTAGGTTGTCCGGAAATAAATGAGCGTTTTGTATTGTTTATTATTTGGGTACATTTTTCTCAATAAAGTATGCTCTGTACCTTGTAATGTTATATACCATTAGAAAGCTGAGTTCGCACTCTCTTTAACGATGCTTTTAAATTTTGCTGAAAATAAAATTTTTTGCGAATTTTAAGCTTCGCCGTTTTAGATGTCCGAAACTAACTTTCGCCAGATTTTCTTTTATGAGTTCAAACTCGGTCACGATGCAGCTGAAGCGGCTCGTAACATTAACGAAGTTTGGGGCCAAGGCAGTGTCGGCGAGTCAACAGTGCGAACTTGGTTCCGAAAATTCCGAGGTGATGATTTGGATCTCGAAGATAAGGAAGGCCTTGGCCGTCCTCTTGAACTCGATGACGACGAAATGAAGACCCTGGTGGAAGCAAATCCACGTACGACTATTCGAAAGCTTGCGGAGGAGCTTGGCGTGGCCAAGACGATGATTTCCGGCCACCCGAAACGGATTGGAAGGTCAAAAAAGCTCGATAAATGGGTGCCGCACGAATTGAACGAGAATCAAAAAAATTGTCGTTTTGAGGTGTCGTCTGCTCTTCTTCAGCGCAACAAAAACGACTCATTTCTCGACCGGATCGTAACGTGCGATGAAAGTGGATCCTCTACGACAACTGGTGACGTTCCGCTCAGTGGTTGGACGCCGGAGAGGCTCCACAACACTTTCCAAAGCCAAATTTGCACCATCTATGCTACCGGCATAAATAAACTTGTTTCTCGTTGGCAAGAATGTGTTAATTGCAATGGTTCTTATTTCGATTAATAAAGTTTTGTTTGGATCAAGTTATGGTACTTTAAATATTCAACTTAAAAACGCTCATTTATTTCCGGACAACCTAATAGAAGAATATAGAACAATTTTTGAACAATATAGAACAATTTTTGAACAATTGTCCTCTCTAAACCCAATCCCATCTATCGTAGTCGACCGCAAAAGACTCAAAATCTTTATACCTTCCTCGATTCTCTCAAAATCTCATATTCTCTACAGGATTCTCGATCTCATTTCCTCTAAATCTCTCAAATTTCCATAATCTTTCTCCGAAATTCTCCCGACTTTGAGGCCCTCGGCGGGCTTCGATCGACGAGAGAACAAGAAAAAGAGAGATGACATAAAGATAGAAAAATGGCTGCCCTTTTCCCCCTTTTCTTCTCCTTTTCCCCTCTTTTTCCCCCCATTTTCTCCCTTCTAAAGAAAACACCTTTTTTGATATTTTACACCCCTTTATATAAAGCTATTTTTTGCCATTTCCTCTTTTTCTTTCTTTTTCTTTTCCACCCATTCTCGCTAATTAATTTCTCGACGAGGTTTTCCCTTTTTTTTCATTTTTGGTTCATTTCCTGACTCATCCTTTATTCAAAGATAAACCCCAGGTTTTGATCGTTTTAAGCACAAAACTAAACTTCAACTTGCCAACTCTTTACATGGTTTAGATAACTTTTAAAAGTATAAGTGACTTTTGAAAGCTTAAGGGACTTTTCAAAGGTTAAGTGGCTTTTCAAAGTTTAAATGACTTTTGAAAGCTTAAGTGACTAAACCCCAGGTTTTGATCGTTTTAAGCACAAAACTAAACTTCAACTTGCCAACTCTTTACATGGTTTA